AGGTTTTTAATGTGTTAGCTCCGTTCTTCAAAGGGCCTTACCACCGGAGACGGAAATCCGTGAGGTAAGGTGAGGTGTGACATTTTGAGGGTCGACCCTTTCTAACCCCACCCCTCCTTGTGGGAAGGCAGCATCGCTGCAGATGCTGGTTGTCTGAGGGAAATACCTTACTGCTGTCACACCCCTCTACAGTCAGCAGTACGACTTCGCCCTCAGACCTTGAGTTGCTGCTTTTAGTCTTACCGTTTCCAACCGACTTGCCTGGCATGATAGAACCTACAGGAACATATGTTCCAGCCAATGTAGCTCGGTTGGGTCATCACGATAGGCAAGCCCGACCACCGCGTCAAGGTAGCAGCTTCGGTCGAGAAAATATTGATATTCATAATCATGGTTCCTCTTGTATCACAGAGGCCATTAGAATTGAATGAAAGCTGAACACACAAATGAATAGGAAGACACCAGGTATTTGGAGTTTGACAACGCTCTAACCAGTAACATCTAATTTGAATCGTACCCAGCAACTGTAATCACAAGTCGCAATCGAGGGCGTTCGAAGATATATTTGATAGGTTATCAATATATCGAGGGTTGACTGATCTAGAATGGCTGGCGATTATAGGGGTTGTTGAGCACGGCGTTCCCACTCGTGATCTGGTATGGATGCATGACCGAGCGCCTTCAGTTAAGTGAGTTCATTAAAACTAAAATGGTCAGCACCCAATGTCGAGGACTTACAGAACCATTTATTTTGAGGATTTATTTACTGCTAACTTCGCCTGGAGTCACTACGGAGGCTACTGCCGGTCCCAAGCCCGGATAAAGGAGGAGGGTTGGGCATGTGATTAGCGATCCCATCCCGTAGAAAACTAACTCGCTAAAAAAACTCTAACCAAAAAAAACTGTTTGGACTTTTTAAACTCTGCCCTAGGAATCAGTAGGTCTTCATTTAGAAGAATTATGACGCCTCATGATGAAAGCTGAATTCCTTCGGAAGTTGCGAGGCCGATGCCTCTTCTGGCAACCAGAGCAACCATTTATTTAGGTACGTGGAATACTCGTACAATGTGAGACACAGGGAGAGTCTTCCAAATCGCTGCAGAAATGAGGAGATACAACCTAGAGGTGCTTGGGATCAGTGAAACACATTGGACACAAGTTGGACAACAACGACTAACTACAGGAGAGCTCCTGTTATACTCCGGCCATGAAGAAAATGCCCCACATACACAAGGAGTTGCATTGATGCTGTCCAAACAAGCGCAAAATGCACTTATAGGATGGGAATCTCATGGACCAAGGATCATCAAAGCCTCGTTCAAAACAAAGAAAGAGGGCATTTCAATGAACATCATCCAATGCTATGCGCCTACCAACGACTACAATGAAGACGCTAAAGATCAATTCTACAATAGGCTGCAGTCAATCGTCGAGAAGTGCCCAACAAAGGACCTGACAATTCTGATGGGAGATTTCAACGCCAAGGTTGGAACGGACAACACTGGATATGAAGACATCATGGGACGACACGGACTGGGAGAAAGGAACGAAAATGGTGAGAGATTTGCAAACCTATGTGCCTTCAATAAACTGGTCATAGGCGGCACCATATTCCCACATAAACGCATACACAAAACCACATGGACTTCACCGGATCACACTACACAAAACCAAATCGACCATATTTGCATCAACAAAACGTTCAGGAGGACGTGAGAACCAAGAGAGGAGCTGATATAGCATCAGATCATCACTTGCTGGTCGCCAAGATGAAATTGAAACTCAAGAAGCACTGGACAACGGGGCGGACAATATCACAAAAGTTCAATACGGCCTTTCTTCAGGATACTAACAAACTCAACAAATTCAAGATAGTCCTCAGCAACAAGTTCCAGGCCTTTCATGATCTACTCAATGGAGAAGGAACTACTGTGGAGAGCAACTGGAAGGGGATCAAAGAGGCAATCACTTCAACATGTCATGAGGTCCTGGGTCACAAGAAGCACCACCACAAGGAATGGATCACTGTTGATACACTGGATAAGATTCAAGAAAGGAGGAAGAAGGCAGCAATCAATACCAGTCGAACAAGAGCAGAAAAAGCCAAGGCACAAGCTGAATACACAGAAGTAAACAAACAAGTGAAGAGGAGCATCAGAACCGACAAACGTAAATATGTGGAAGATTTAGCAACGACGGCGGAAAAGGCTGCAAGAGAAGGAAACATGAGACAACTGTATGACACGACAAAGAAACTCTCTGGAAATCGCCGCAAACCAGAACGACCAGTGAAAAGCAAGGTAATCACCAACATTGAAGAGCAACAAAACAGGTGGGTAGAACACTTCAAAGAACTCTTGAATCGACCAGCTCCACTGAACCCACCCAACATCGAAGCAGCACCCACGGACCTCCCAATCAATGTTGGCCCACCAACAATTGAAGAAATCAGCATGGCCATCAGACAAATCAAGAGTGGCAAAGCAGCAGGACCAGACATTCCAGCAGAGGCACTAAAAGCAGACGTAGCGGCAACTGCAAGGATACTCCACATTCTCTTCAATAAGATTTGGGATGAGGAACAAGTACCAACAGACTGGAAAGAAGGACTTCTGATCAAAATACCGAAGAAAGGCGATCTCAGCAACTGTGATAACTACAGGGGCATCACTCTTCTCTCAATACCGGGAAAAGTCTTCAACAGGGTATTGTTAAACAGGATGAAGGACTGCGTAGACGCCCAACTTCGTGACCAACAGGCAGGATTCCGTAAGGATAGATCGTGTACAGACCAAATCGCAACTCTACGGATCATTGTGGAACAATCAATTGAATGGAATTCATCACTCTACATCAACTTCATTGACTACGAAAAGGCATTTGATAGCGTGGACAGAACAACACTATGGAAACTTCTTCGACACTACGGCGTGCCTCAGAAGATAGTCAATATCATACAGAATTCATATGATGGATTAAACTGCAAAATCGTGCATGGAGGACAGTTGACAGACTCGTTCGAGGTAAAGACCGGTGTTAGGCAAGGTTGCTTACTCTCACCCTTTCTCTTTCTCCTGGTGATCGACTGGATCATGAAGACGTCAACATCTGAAGGAAAACACGTGATACAATGGACATCTAGGATGCAGTTGGACGATCTGACCGTCCTATCTCAATCGCAACAACAAATGCAGGAGAGAACGACCACTGAGCAGTAGTAGGTCTGAATAAACACAAAGGGAGAAGCAGGATTCTCCGATACAACACAGCATGCACCAAACAAGTCACAATTGATGGGGAAGATTTGGAAAATGTAAAAATCTTTACATATTTGGTCAGGATCATTGATGAACATGGTGGGTCCGATGCAGATGTGAAGGCGCTGATCGGAAAAGCAAGAGCAGCATATTTACAACTGAGGAACATCTGGAACTCAAAGCAACTGTCAACCAACATCAAGGTCAGGATTTTCAATACAAATGTCAAGACAGTTCTACTGTATGGGGCGGAAACCTGGAAAACTACGAAAGCCATCATCCAGAAAATACAGGTGTTTATTAACAGTTGTCTACAAAAAATACTTCGGATCCGTTGGCCGGACACTATTAGCAACAACCTACTGTGAGAGAGAACAAACCAGATCCCAGCGGAAGAAGAAATCAGGAAGAAGCGCTGGAAGTGGATAGGACGCACATTGAGGAAAGCACCCAACTGCGTCACAAGACAAGCCCTCACGTGGAATCCTCAAGGCCAAAGGAGGAGAAGAAGACCAAAGAACACATTACACCGGGAAATGGAGATAGACGTGAGAAAAATGAACAAGAATTGGATGCAATTAGAAAAGAAGGCCTAAGACAGAGTGGGTTGGAGAATGCTGGTCAGCGGCCTATGCTCCATTGGGAATAACAGGTGTAAGTAGGTAAGCAAGTAATTTACTGCTAGAAATGTATCGTGAATATCATTTTTAAGAAAGTTTATCAACAAATCACAAGAACAGATGAAAAGCCTTTCACAAAACAAACATAAAGGGTGCCGGAAATAATACCTTGTGAAAACCAGATGACTAATCAGAACAGATAGAAAGGACTTAAAGTCTTCCCTCGTTTAACTTACATATTACCAGTAACCGAACATTCGCGTCGTATTTTCGAGGATTATTATGCAACTGCCAACTCTGCAGAGCTGCTGAAATCTCAAATATTTTAATTTTCACGGGATATTTAAGGTTTCAAACTACGGAACGACAACAAAAGTTCAAAATGGAAGCTCATCCAAACTACCATTATTGGGAACATTAACAATAAGCTTCAGCCTTGTGCATTAAGTCCGTAATCTTGTATAAAATGTGTATTTTAATAAATAAGTGTACTGAAGATAGCCCATTAGTGAACGCGATTCTGTAAGACGGTATTATCGTCAGATGTGGTTGCACCGCACCTGGTTTAAAACCGTTACCGTCAACTAGGTGTCCAATAGATCCAAAATCAAATACATAAAATGGGCACTTATTCGGACTCACCGTAATATTCTTCTCAACTAAACAACGCACTAAAGCCAAAATACTCTGGTCATGAACCACCTTATCAGAACCATGAACAATGAGATCATCTTGATAAACTTCAACACCTTCAAGTTCACTGACTACCTTATTCATCAACTACTAATTTCGGGGATTTATCTACCTACGCGCACCAAAACTGGTACAAGTGAAGATTTCTTATACCCAAAACACGACAAACACAACCGATGTATACAATGGCTTATCTATTTTGAATACTAAGTAGAATGAAATCACATATTTAAGAAAATTCCCAGAGTTATAACAAGCCACATACTGCATATTATGCTGAGCATAGTTCATAGTATATCGTGTCTTGAATTAATATCACAATCAAATACATTAGTGTTACGCTAAATAAAATACCACACTGAAAAACAAACAAATATTCTTTGAATAAACATCATATGAAATTAAAATACGGGAACAATGTTGAACGAAAATCACACTAAATAAAAAAGATGCAATTTCGCATCATTCATTCATATCACTAAGAAAGACTGGAGCATCCTGTACTTATAGTTTTATAGGCTAGATTTTAGTCCATCCACTGTCTTTATTGCACACAACTATCAAACCTTTAAGTAAAGCACCAAAATCTTCTGAAGAAGCTAATGAAGGCAACGTAACTTAAGCCTTTTCAAATTCTTTGATCCCAGTAGTGACATCCTGTTTAGTAAACAGACATACAAATCATGTATGAGGAATTACAATCAATAACAAACTATTTGAATGAATAGATTCTGTGCTCCCTGTGTCAGCAAAAAGTCATGAAACAAACGAAGAGAGATATATGATCGCCTATAGATGTGGGAAACGCCCTTCGAAATTGCCGATCGTTAGAAACACTTAACTTCATAAAATCCTAATTACAGTGTTTGTTATCTGTGATAATTAGGAATATTTGAATTATAGTAAAAGCTAGGAATCCCAGAAATAACGCAACTTAAGTACGAAGGAATCATCAGTCAGTAAAAACACCGCAACCGGGAAACAGATAAGTTTCACTGTCATTCGAAAGTTTCATTATCGTTTTTCGTTAAACCAGGAACCTTAACTCCCAATTCTGGAGTAGCATTATAAGTTTGCTCTCCATCGGATGGTTCGGAAAACTAGTCCCACGAAACTCTATGTAGTATTGACACTAGGCTTCGCTAGCGTCACCTAGCGCACTAGAGTGTAGCGAGTACAAAGTAACTGGATCCTCAAAAACAGTTCATTTTTTTAGGTCGAATGATCTAAACAATGTGAAAAGAAACTGGCTTTGTCAGTAACGTCCCTTAGCAAACTTCGTTTATTAGCATTCTGATGTAAGCTACAATACCATAAGTGATTTGTTTTGACTTTCAGTGAACTGCCTCATTGAAAATAATTCGTGAAATATTGTGATGCTACTTGGAGCCCTGAGTTTTCAGGATGAACGTCCATGTAATGATGATTACCGACTGGATGGCCAGTGAAGAAACAAAATCCAAACAGTAAGGAAAAATTTTGGAGAATGTGTTATAAAATATCTTCGTTTGCGTGACACATACCTGGTCCACGTTATCCAATAGTAAACGCACTCTAAATAAAGATAATATACCTTAAAAGCGAGTCACTAAATCAAGAACTCAAAAATATCACGTGATCGATGAACAACACGGTTGGACATCTATTTCATAAAGATTAGGTTATTAGCCGATCTGTATGGTTGCATCGTCTGTGTATTAACACCGTTAAGTAGTACGAATCCTGCTCAAATGGCAATACAGATGTTCAAACGACCACATACAGTCAAGAAATAACATACACCACGTAAAAACACACTGAAATTATATGCATCGGCCGGAATGAACTCTTAATATGAGGATGAATCTTACTGAAACGAATTAGATAAACTCATAAAATTATAAATCCTATGATAACACGTGAGGTACCAAGGGAAAACGCAGTAATAGGTAAGAAAAATTACTACTAGTAGAGGAATCACGTCAAGAAAATATTGTGATTCAGATTGCGAAATAGTACAACTAGTCAATAACATTCTGTTTACATTCCCGAGAAAAGTAAAATTGGCCTGAAGATCATTTAGACCACCTGACCACCTTCCTTTCGTAAACGAACTGATTAATTGGTTCCTTTGATTCAATAGGTAAAGTGGCCAAGTAAAAAGGTGTATCAGCACCTAAAATAATAAACACAACAAAAACTTAATATTAGTCAAGTGCAAATCACTGATAAACGAAATCCCTTAAATCATACAAACAAGATAATGACCAAAAGAAACTTAAGAGGCATACTGTTATCCTTCGTTATATTTGGAAATATTCTGAAAAATATTTCCCGGTAAAAGATATGGGAAGATGTATGAGTTACAATTTTGGAACTTGCGCAACTGACAGCTAATTTCAATATGAAGTGTCGTAGCTAGATTATATTGTGAAAGTATACGAATTCATAGAATGTTGAGTAGTTCTGTGATCCACAGTACAGAAAACTAAATATTTTATGAATATGATTACACAAATGTTTGTATGTGTGTATCGACAGTTTTCTAAATGTCCTTTTTAATGATTGATTTATCAACGAAATCATTGATACATATAGGAAACGTGTTAACCAATTACCGAGACAGGTGGCTAAATAGCGATTTACACGTCGATCCTATTACTAGAGAAACGATAATTTATATCTCTTATGTAATTCAAACTGACTACACGCAGATATTAGAAACCTTTCATTTAATTACTCGAACGAGTTTAATGATTGTGAAGAAAGGTTAGCTAATTAATCTTCCTGTCTCCGACCACTATTCACCTAGACCCTTCTCCCATCAATCAAGGCGTCATTTTATCCTGTCAATTAAATGTTTATTATAATACCCATAAAAAGGGAGGATTTGGTTGAGGCATTACTGGTAGACCCAGAGAGTGGAAGCTATGCCTAGACCGATGGGTGTCCTCGCACTACGATGCTTTATGGGACCTATTATGGTGCATCTACTCCTAACCTTCATCGCCTACGTGCCCCGTTAAATAAGACCCTGTCGAAGAACATAAAATTGGATTGGTTGAAAAGTTGTCAAGGTGCTTTGAGAAAATTAAAGAACTACTAGTCTCGGGTCTGTTGATTGCCCAATACGATACATCCTTACCAATTGCGGTAGCATCAGACGCTTCGAGCTACGACATTGGGGCAATTACTTTTCACATCATGCCCGATGGATCTGTGAAAGTAATATCACATGCACCTGTGTCGTTAAATACAACTACAACAGGACGTAACTGCAGCCGGATAGAGAAGGAAGCATTGTCAAGTATCTTCGCCATAAAGTTTCACAAGATGACATTTGGACGTCAGTTCACGTTCTTAACTGATCATAAGCAATTGCTGACCACATTTGGATCGGAGAAAGGGATTCCGGTATGTGAAGCAAACAGACTGCAACGATAAGAAACCACACTCTTGAGTTATGACTTCAAGTACCAGCCCACTACTGATTTTGAACAGGCTGACGCTTTGTCTAGACTGATTGGTTCACAAGTAAAATAGGAAGATACTTTTGTGGCAGCAATTGAGATGGAAACAGAAGTACACTGAGTATTGTAAGACGCAGTCGATGGTTTACCAGTTACTTCCAAAGCTATCAAAGAAGCCACGGATGATGACAAGACATTAAGAGAAGTTACGGGTTATCTCCTCACCAAGTAGTCAAACAGTCGTTTTCAAGGAGAACTGCTACAGTATTTTCGCCGGCGGGACACATTCATGATTTTTGACTCATTTATTATGTCCACTGACGAAATCGTTGTCCAAAAAATAACGCCGATTCCACAATGTACATTCCGGCATCAACAAGAAGAAATTATTGGCTCGAAGATTTGCTTACTGGTCTACAATGGCTCAAGATATCGAATACCGCGATTGTTCATCTCACCTGCAAGCAACCAAAAGTCCAAATAAATGTGAACCACAACAACAAAAAAGTGCAGTAGTCCCTGGGAGAGGCTACATGCAGATCTTGTCAGCCCAGTGGGAGGAAAATAGTTTTTAGTCATAGCAGATGTACCTACGAAATAGCCACAAATCTATACTATGGTAAATTGCACAGCCAATGAAACGATCAGCAAATTATTTGAATTGCTTAACTGTCTTGGAGTTCCGAAAACTTTGGTAACCGACAACGAGTCACAATTCACTTCGGAATTATTCAAGTACTTCTGCATCATTAGCGGAATTACACATATACACCCTCCACCTTATCACCTTCAGTCAAATGGACAGTCAGAAAGCTTTATCGATACATTCAAAAGAGCATTACTGAAAGAGAGACGAGGGGACAATTCAGGTAACTGCAAATTTTTTAACACCTAACAGAACTGGACCCAACCCTATTGTCCCAGATGGGAAGTCTCTTGATGAAGCTGTGTTCGAAAGAAGTATTCGAACCCTATTCGACGCCATGTTGCCACCTAAACCAGTTAACGTATGTAAGTTACATCAGAATATCTGAAGTTTTAATGTGAGTGATATAATGGTCATCAAGTCATACCTTGGAAAAAATCTATGGGAATCTGTGGACATTGGAAAAAGAATGGGAAATGTTTTGTACAAAATGCGTGGGACAATTGGAAGGCGGATTAGATACATCAACCAAATCCACACAGAAAAAAGGACGTTGAACACTATAGACAGACGAGTGAGTCATCCAATGGAGATACTTGCAGATAACCCAATGACAGGAACGCCCAGGGACATTCGTAGTTAGAGGACACCAAGGAAACCGGAACGCTGCCGGAAACCAGTTATCAGCTGCAATTAGACCCAAAGAAGTTTGATTGTTGAAAGGAGGAAGGTGTTTGGGAGACTCAGGATATTCCCCGAAAAATATCTAAAGGAGCCCTGGAAACGCTAACAAGCACTTTATTCAATCAGCACCGAATAGAAGCATTTCAGAAACATCTAGAAAGTGAAGAGTCACGTATCACATTTCTGATTGGATGATTAACTATCCTGCTACTATGTTTCGTAGGGTTCGATAATCTCCAGAAGCTCAGGCCTATCTGAAATACTATAAATACCTTCAATTTTCTGTACATAAACTAAATTTTGAGTAAAGCGTTCTCTACATGGCTTGCGCTTTTTCTCTTGTGTTCAAGTGGTCGTGTACATTTAACTTAGGGGTTACTAGAAGAGTTTAGAAAACCGATCCAAGCATTCATTCAAAAGATTCATCAGGAATATCAGTTTTACTCAGCGTAGTTGTCACCCTCTGCGACCAACAACTCGAGACATAAATTTCTGTCTCAAAGCGAAGTTTTATCCGTTCGTCTAGAGATCCTGTTGGTAACGTTCGTGAATCCTAAGTATTTTTTGGCTGATAGAAGGCTTCTATGCAGTATCCAGATGGTCAATGAGTCATTATCACGAATTGCTGAGTAGCAATTATGAGAAAGATAACCAATTTGATCGCTTGACAGCCAAACAGAAGAATATGACTCATTCTTTATTGATCTTCGAATATGCAGCTTTTGTTGTCATCGATTTTGTATGTGAAAGTCACGTAAATAAAATAATCGCCGATGTCTTTGATATGCGACAGTTTATTTGAACGATCGAAAATTCCAGGTCAGTGTAACCCTGATTATCTCTACTCCGTACGTAATTTTGAGGCACATCGTGAAGTGAACGGTTTTCTGGAACAGTACATTTTTCCAAAATTATATCAAAACAATGTAGCTCGTCGATTTTCCGATGTCATAGATTTTGATTTTACCTACAACTGTAGTAAGAACGGTATGTTTCTATACGAAATAGTGGCACTAGATGCTTTCATGAAGACAATGCCAGTAGCATTTAGATTTATGGATAGGGAAACTTCCGAGCTGACTAGTAGGTTCTTAGTCTTTCTTAAGACAGTTTCGTCAGGGATACCTGTGGGATTTTTCATCAATGACAACAGTCCCGCCATAAACAATGCACTATCTGCCAACTTTTCTCAAACGCATTATGTGTTATGTAGAATCCCGACCGTTGTTACTACCCTGACTTGGTGGTCGGGCTTGCCTATCGTGATGAACCAATCGGGTTTAACTGGCTGCAACAATCGTTCCTTAAGGTTCTACCATGCCAAACAGGTCAGTTGAAGAGCGGTAAGACTAAAAGCAGCAAATTTAAGGTCCGAAGGTGAAGTCATACTGCTGACTGTACAGAGATGTGACGGCAGTAAGGTGCATCTCTCAGACAACCAGTATGACAGCGATGCTGTATGCCCACAAAGGAAGGGTGGGGTTAGGAAAGGTCGAACCTAAAAATACACACCTCGCCTTATCCCACGGATATCCGTCTCTGGCGGTAAGGTTCCAACAAGTACAGAACACGAAAGTTACTCACAGAAAGGTCGTGTGTGACCGACCTCAAGCAGTTGTCCCTTGGGCACTGTGGTCACGCTCTCATGTCACTAAGACCAACTCTAACTCTATTTCCTTTTCAGGTACCTCTAGAAGAACCCTTTCACGGTACTGGCAACTGGGAAGTGAAAACCGTCCTAATATCTCTAACAGCACTCAAGACCACGGACTAACTGAATTATGTAGAATACATATAATACGTAATCTCCTTCGGGGAAGGAAGAGGTACGTTTACTGTGTTTAGCTAACAAGTCACTCATAGAATATCTCATCTAAAACATTTCGACAATTTCTTTGTCTAATGCATACGAAAAACACTGGACGGTAAGTGTAAACTCACCTTAATGCACAAATTTGTGTAGATTCAACTCTAACAAAAACGATATTGAAGACGACAATTTAACATTTTCCCACAATCCAAAAAATAACTTTCACATTAAGAATTTGAACCATGAGAAATACTCTTAATGCAAAATAACACGAACTTCGTGGCACAACGCACAGGATGATAATGTTCAGCCTCAATTCTAAATGTCTTGTCTTGCGTTGTGTGTTCCATTTATTTTTAAGGAGTGGCTACTGGCTGCATGCTAGACTGCATGAAATGAGGAAAGAAATGTTTTAAGAAAGTGTTGTTCCATAAAGGTCCGAATGAATAGAGATCCATTTCTTACTCCATGGAAACGTATTATGTATCGTTAGGGTTGTTATTACTATATACATAAGCCTATGTGACTTCTACAGGATGTGCAAACAAAAAGGCGTGAAAAATTAA